AATATATGTAACTTTCCTGTTTTGAGTTTCTTCAGATTCAAACGGGATCATGGTCAAAACAGCTCTACAAGTTCCGAGACACCTTTAGGTATCTCGGCCAGGTCCGAGACACCTCTGGGTGTCTCAGCGCTATTTTAGGCATAACTTCCTCATATAACGTCCAAATGACCTGATTCCAGATGGGTTAGAAAGTTGACAAAAATATCTACAACTTTCCTGTTTTGAGTTTCTTCAGATTCAAATGGGATCATGGTCAAAATAGCTCCACAAGTTCCGAGACACCTTTGGGTGTCTCGGCTCGGGCTGAGACATTTTGTTTTGCACACTTGTCCATTTTCGCCATAACTTTTTCATCCGAACTCGGATTTAAGAGATTCAAAGTGCGTTGGAAAGACGATGAGGAGTTCTATAAGCTTCAATGATTAGATCATCTGTGGAATAAATGAGACATGAAGGGTATTTCGTCTTTTGTAAGTGATACGGGGCTCCCGATCCGTTCGTATCCTCATTATTCTGAAACTCCGTTGCTTCACATAGTTCGTCAACCCACTTCATGTGTTTGTCGACATTAATCAAGCTCCTGTGACTTAGATTATGACGTTCATCATCTTTTCTTAGCACTGAGCCGTTCGTAGGGACCTATAGGCAGTTTTATACGCCTACAACTTGCTTTCGAGAATCTCCCAAATCTTCTTTGCAGAAGTCTCATTCATCACATCATATTTTAGATCTTGAGTCAAACAAGACCTAATCACACCACACGCCGTTCGATTCATCTTTTTCCAAACCTTCTCTTCAATCTCATATGGCTTGCCATCTAACTCTAAGGTATCCTCCAAATTCTGCGCGTTCAGCGCATCCAAAACCTCGCATTTCCATAATCCAAAATTGTTTGTGCCATTAAATTTCTCCACATCTATCTTCATAGAGTGGATATTCAAACTCTGAATGGTCTTCGCGCCAGAAGAACCACCCTCGACACCCGAAGCACCTTCTTTCCCCGACATCTTACGCACCAACGAACAAAGAATAGATCCAAAACTGAAAGATAGAGTCTTTACCAAAAGATCCCACCTTTATCACAAACGAAGTCCTAAACGGGCCTCCAAATTGATCTACTCCTCCAACCAAACCCTAGATCTGAAACCTGGGCTCTGATACCACTTGTTGTGCGCAGCGGAAATTTCGGCAGAGTTTCTGGTGCACAATAAGAGAGAAAGATCAAAATAAGAATTCTCGTCTCACCAAGGAGACAAGAATCTGAAGCGGATATCTCAACCAAGTGAGATATCGGCTCTTCCTCTCATCAGTTCTAGGACTGACCTGTCGAGGGATCCTAAAAACTATTACAATGGCCACAAACTCAAACAACCAATTTTACGTGGTTCGGCAAACTGCCTACGTCCACGGGGCAAGGAGGGGGGAGATCTACTAATAGAGGGAGAGAATACAACTAGGGTTTACAAACACTCAATTTAAACCCTCACACAATCTCTCAAACCCTCACACAAATATCTCTCAAAGAGATGCACAAAACCCTAAAAGGGACTACTCAAGATAAGAAGGGTAAAAAAGAAAAAGAAAAATCTCTATTTGTAGCTTCCGAAGTTAAACATTTGGAATCATTCTCTACTTAAATTGAACAGTACTTTTTAGTCATCTATTGTTCAACGAATCGACATGACATCTCAATTAGACCTAGTGCAAGAAGTTAATTATGATGATTATTGTTTACCAGTAGCACGAAAATGATGCATGAATGGTTGACATACGACTATCATGGCACTTCAATTACCATAATTACTACTTTAATTAATTCGCTTATTATTTATGCCTCGGGTCTTATAAGAATAGGTGAGCAACTCTTAACCTCAAAACTTTGAGGTCCACAATATTAGGTTTATAGTAGCTGTCGTTGTATTGAACAGCTAGCTCATCTGCATGAGAATGTACATTGGCCGTATTCACGTCTTTTCATACGAACATTTATAAGTAGTCTGCATATGAAATTGTTATCATTTATAAGAGTAAACTGAAAGAAAAAAAAAACCCCACAGTCCGAGAGCATTACCTCATGCAGTGCCGCTCTTTTTTATAGTAGGTTTGAGAGGCAAAAAGATAACTTGGACAGAGTCCAGCTAGGTAGTTGGGTCGGTAGACATGTGCTATGTGTCGGTTGCTGAAGAGGTGAGTCACCTCATCATTTATTGTGGGAATGATAGCAGGTGTTTCGTGCTGATTGGTTCCGATGAGTCATAAAGACTAGGGTTAGGACAGTTAATGCGAGAGTGCTCGGCTAGAGAGAGGTTCGAGGTAACTGTCGTCCTTCAATTCGTCAAGTTCGTGGCCGAGAATTACCACCTTTTGACTCAGCTAGGCGAGATGTCGGCTGAACAGTGGGCCTAGTCGGGTCACTTGTGGAGTCAATTGAGGGGTTGATCGAGTAGTACCGACTTTTGACTCGGTTACGCAAGCTGTCGGTCGATCAACTTGACCGTACTGAGACGGAGGTTATCTTGGTCTTAAATTAGTTGGGTTAGGTATAATATAAGACGCATGTCGACTTCTCTATGGAGATTAATATTTAGTACTTCAATGGTCTTAAAAATATCCAAAATATCCAAACTATCATCTTTAGTTACATGCGCCTAACATGTATTTCCCAACAACATGTGTAATTGATGAGGATAGTTTTCGTAATTGAGGTATTAATTGCCAAAAATTTGACAAAAAGTGGTTGATTGGACAAAGCCTCATTAATGATGACTTGTATTGATTCAACCGATTCTAAAGGTAGTTTTCATAAATAATAAAAACTTTAAAATATATCAAATCATATTTCAGTAAAAGGCTAATAACTGAGGAAGATTTGCTAATTTTTTGATTTTTTTGGGGGTGTCTTTACAGATCGCTTCTAGAGGGAAATAGAAAATGAGAATCTAATGAGCAACTTTAACAAAAGATTTAGTCATTCGTTAAAAGAAATTATTATTGTGGTTAACCCTGAAAATTTAAGCTTTCGTATGATTAGAGTTGTACAAAATACAAATATTATACCTCCAAAAATAGTACAGGATAATGTTTTCAGATAGAGATGTTAATTTTGTAAAGTTATCCATCACTCAAAGTCTCAAGAATATACTATGAGAAGCTTTCTTAAAAAGGAATATACTATTATTTAAATTCTTTCCTTTCTTCTTTTTAATGCAGAAAGTTGCTTGATGCATCACTATCATTCAATAGGGTATGATAATTATAAAAAAGTAACGGTTTTTTTATAGAGTGCCCATGAGCGCTCTATAAAAGAGGAGAAAGATGAAGAGAAATGAATGAAGAGGGGGTCCCCCTAATTTGCATTGGGTCCCCCGTCCCTTCCTTATTCATTTCTCTCTATATCTCTTCTCCCTTATAGAGTGCCCATGGGCACTCTATAGAAAACCCGAAAAAAGAAAACGAAAATTAAACAAATTATAATCGACATGTATGGATAATCACAACAAATCAATGAACTTTGTTCATCAAATCTAGTAATAATAAAGAAAATTCTCAGGCTAAAATAAATGCCCTAGTCTTACCAGTATTGCATTTTAATACCTCATATTTTTAAAACTGTACACTGAAATGCTCCAAAGTATTTAAGTGTTGCAGATAAATATCACAACGTTAAATAAAATCCAGATATCATTAACTTTTCTCTATGTATTCAAGAATATCACACAATAGAGGATGATAAAATGCAACTTTTAGAAACTTTAGTGTATTAAGTAAAGTCATTTACAAATTAAAGGTATTTATATGCAACACTAGGTAACCAAGTAGGCATCAATAAGCAACATTGGATAAACAAGAAGATATCAACATGCCGCATTTTGATACCTTACGATATTTATCTGTAATAATTAAATACTTTCGAATTTTTTTTAATAATCTAGCCTAAAATTGAATCTAAGACCGTGGGAGCTATTTTAGATCCTCTCTATCGGTCGGATCACCCGCAGTGGACTACTTTGGGATATTTAAATATACAGTTTCAAAATATGAGGTACTAAAGTGCAATGTTGGTGAACTATAGAGTATTTAAGTGCAGTTTACCCAATATATCAATTAAGTATATAGTTTCAAAATATGAGGTATTAAAATGCAATGTTGGTGAACTATATAGAGTATTGAAGTACAGTTCACCCAATTTCTCAAGATAAGGATCGCACGATATTGAAGATCTAGTTACCCCACATTCATGAAAACATGCCCCCAACAACTTTGACGCATAGCTAATGTTCCTTTGACACTCGGCGCTATGAATTGATAGCTCGAAGTGAAATTACGGAATTGCCCTGTGTGATGGTTATGCAAACATTTATATGTAATATCACCACTTTAGCCAACATTTATTTTTCTAACCATCCTTTTTTTTTATAACTCCAACGAGAATTAAATTTAAGATCATAATAAAGTCTTGCAATCCTCTAAATCATCCACAAGGACCACAATGGATATTTTTCTAATCATCTTTAAATTTAACATATTTTAGAAAGCGTGTGTTGATCACATACACGTAATCATAAACTATTTTCTTCTGCTTATGATTTTATGTGACGTTCAATTCTCAACGCATGTAATTTATTTTTCTACTTTAGTATATAGCTATAGAGTATCCATATTGATTGAGCTAGTTCATTAAACCATATAAGCTTGATTCTCTTAAAATTTTTCTCTCTTATGATTAAGTTTAAGATCTAATCTTTCATCCTACGGTGGATAACAAAATTTCAAACTAAGATTATAAAAAAATTGAAAATAAAAGAATTATTAGCATAAAATCTTTAAGACAGTCTGATATTATGTCGGGCTAAAGACTACACGTAGACACTCAAATTCCAAACAAAAGTCCACAAAATCAGCTGGCATTTCTGTAAATAATTACCCTTATAAGGTCTAAAAGTCAAGAGCCCAATGCGCAGCAGCTCGATAAAGAAAACAAAACAAAACAAAACTATCGAAAGATTCAAAACCCACAACTCTTGCCTCTCTCCTTCCACGTTTCCATCAAAATCCTCCACTAATAAAATTTTACAATTTAAACCCCAACAAAATGCAAAAATTGCAAAATTCTCGCCTCCATTGAACCAAAGCATTGCTCCCTCTCCTCGCGATCCTCAATGGAGACGGCGACGATGGCGACGGCGGCGGGAGTCGCGGTGATGCTCTACCTCTTCATCGGCCGCCGGATCTCGATCTGCGATCCGGAGATCGACGGCGTGGATACGTACTCGGAGACGCTAGGGAAGTGGCCGATTGGGGATTTGGCGTTTGGGATCAAGTATTTGATGAGGAGGCAGGTTCGTTGATTCGAAACTTGTGAGTTTTGATTCGGTTGGGTTTCGGCAATTATTCATGAATTCCTTATGATGACCAAAATTATTGCAGAAGAATTCAGTGTAGGCATCAAAAGTTGTGTTTTATTTGGCAATTCTTGAGCTGATTGATAATATAAAAATATTGGAATTATAGATCAGGGTGTGTCCTTAGAATTATCCTATTCCTTTCTTCATACGAGTTTAGCTAAAAATCAATCCAGATTTTCAAAGAATATTTTTGGTAGTGTCATTAGTTCACCTTTTCATGTCTACCTTTAAAAACATCCTTTTGAAGAGGAGAAAGTATCCAGTGGGACAGTCTATGACATTAAATGTGCACCTAAAGAATATCGACCACTGGATCATTGAACCTCGTGATTCACGCACAGTATTATTTGGTAGTTTTCATCCTTGTGCATGTGACCTTTGAAGTTTATAAGACCACTAAACTTGAAAACATTGGTCGTAGTTGGGTACTTTGAAAAATATCAACATCTTAGCCTTTGAATTTGGACACTTTTTTTCTTTTATGTTTCTAGTATTCTGAATCGGATTTAATGAACTAAGGAATATTTCTGTTTCAGGGTAATCAACAAATCGCATGTGAATTTGCTGCAAATGATTGTGTGCAGTTGAAAGGGCCTGAAATCATGTCAGAGTTAATTGATCTATTAAGGTTATTGACTTTTTGTAGGCTGTTCTCGAAGCAGCCATTTCTGGTGTTTTTAGACTCTGCTGGATTTTCAAAGGAAGATGTTCTTATTCAAGAGCCTAAAGCAGGCGTAAGTTTATATTTGACTACATACATTGTTCTTCCCCCGATGAAGATCGCCATTATAAACTGCTTCTCAACGTTTGCAGTTATTGAGACCTGCTTTTACAATTATATGTGATAAAAGCTCCAAAAGCTTTCTCTTATTGATTCGGGGAACTCATAGCATTAAAGATACACTGACAGCAGCAACTGGGGCAGTGGTTCCTTTCCACCATTTAGTTTTACATGAAGGTGGTATCAGTACACTGACAGCAGCAACTGGGGCAGTGGTTCCTTTCCACCATTTAGTTTTACATGAAGGTGGTATCAGCAATCTAGTTCTGGGATATGCACACTGTGGGATGGTTGCAGCAGCTCGCTGGATTGCTAAATGTACAACTCCCTGCCTCCTTAAAGCGGTTAAACAACATCCAGATTACAATATCAAGGTAGATGATTCTATTTTGCACTGGACTGAATTTTAAAATTGTTCATTCCTATATAACTTTGTAGTTTCCTGCATTAATAACAGATAGGCAAAACATTCAATTATGTAAGTGGGCTCCAGTACCTTTTCTCTTATCGTTTGTTTGTGTGTTCAATTTATGGTTCCATTTTAATCTTTGCGTGTTACTTTATTTCATAAAAACTACTATAATGTTTCTAATGATTTGAACTATAGGTTGGGAAAATAAGTCATTGAAAATTTAAAAATATTGTCACACATACTTATGGAGGCTTGTGCTCCATAACTAATCCTATTTTTTACGGCCTCACTATATCATTTTCTCTTTTTTTTCCAAGATCATTGGGCATTCATTGGGTGGTGGCACTGCAGCACTTTTGACATACATTCTTCGTGAACGTGAAGAATTTTCGTCCAGCATGTGTATTGCATTTGCACCAGGTATTCCTTTTGAAATTCTGGTTTACATCTTGATTAAAAATGCTGAAAAGATGGTTTTGCATTTCTAATGATAAATCCAGAGAAGGTGACTTTTATAGGTAATCCCTGTGTGATATACAAGCTCTAGTGTTTGCCAAAATCATGTTTTTGTTTATCCAAGTTGAGGCTTTTTTTTTCCTTCTTGGAATTGGGAAATTGTGGGTGTCACTTATAATTGGCGGCCTTTTTATTTTGTTGCTAAAATGATTTTGAAATAATTACGCAACATCCGTTAAAACTGAGAGATTTTTTTTAAAATATTTTAGTAATGAGAAAACTCTTATATCTTGCTTTGCAAGTAACACCTCTTATTACAAGTAACACCTGGTGAACTTCCTGATACTCGGTCAAGATTGTTCTGACCGTAAGACACGTCTCATAATTTTCTCAAAAGCATACGTAACTGAGGCTGGAACCTTAATCTTGCCGAAGACAAAGAGAGATTTGAAAAAACTGACTTGATTATAACAATCGGATTGCCATTGAACTATTCAAGACTTTGCCTTCACAAATAAAACCTTGGCATATAGTTTTGTCAAAACCTGGTTTTTTCTCCCTGGCCCCTCAAATCCTCGAAGTTATTGTCCTTGATCATGAAGTCATGGTATTATCGAGTAGCTTGTATTTTATTGGGACAGATTCTCAAGTTTATATAGACTGCTGATTTCAATAGATGTGCCCACTGGCTTGAGGCAGTGGGATATATGCTTGTAAGAGTTCTTTGATTTGTGAACTTTTCTCTGCTTGAGTTGTCTCTGCTTGAGTTGTCTAAGTATCAGTCACTTGTGAAGGAACATTGATTTATTCTAAAATTTTTTTTGTGATGAGTTTCATTTGTAAACATTATCCTTTTCGCAAGTATCTAATTTGGACTGGCAAAGATGAATACCACCACTGAGCTGATGCATCTTAAGCATGTTCTATGAATTAACTTAAATTAATATAATGATTTTAGAGTTCAATTTTTTTCGTAAGTGATATGTCTACTTCAGTCTGTCCTAAGTTGTTTTGATTGCATATTGAAATATCTAGGCTATTTTTCTCACATGACTCTCTCAGTTTTCGTTAACCTTATAAAAAATTGGTTTTTCTTAAGCTGCCTGCATGACCTGGGACTTAGCAGAGTCGGGCAAACACTTCATTACGACTATCATCAACGGTTCTGATCTGGTGCCTTCATTTTCAACTGCTGCTTTCGATAATCTTCGTTCTGAGGTACATCATAATCACCGGTCCTTAAGTTTTCTTTTTTCTTCCTCTTCCAATTTTACAGTTCAAAATATTGATTCATGTACTTGGTGATACAGTTCTTTAGCATCCTCTTACTCATACTTGAAACTTTATGGGTCTAAGGCTTCAGATCCTTCGTATTTTTGCTTATTATTAAAATGTATTTTCTGTAATATGGTTTTTCTGATGCCAAATGGCTTTTCTGATGGTGGTTATTGTCATTGTGTCTTGCATAAATGACTTAGTCTGCTTTTAGGTATCGTACACCAATCAAGTTGTTTACAATTTTACTTCATTTTTACACATTTTTATATTTTTATAATTAGACTAAGTAATCTAATTGTTTCATGAGAACAAAAGTATCAAGCCTAGCCACTTTTTTTTGTGCCTAGCAAGGATCTTTGGTATTTAACTATTTATCTTTGTATTATTTTGTCGCAGGTGACTGCTTCATCATGGTTAAATGATCTGCGGGATCAAATACAGAACACAAGATTCTTAAATGTTGTTTATCGATCTGCATCCGCATTAGGATCTCATCTTCCATCAATCTCCAGTGCAAAAGCTAGGGTTGCAGGTGCCAGTGCACTTCTACATCCTGTCTCCACCGGTACCCAGGTAAGAAGATTGTTTAGATAGTAGATTGAATCCTCTCAAACAGAAATATATCAACTTATAATTATGATATTTTATATATAGTTACTTGACCAAAGTGTATCTCTTTATCATTGTAATCATCTAAGCATTTTGGCCTTGGAAGCTAGTTGTTAGATGGAAGAAATCCAAATCTCTCATAAACCCACAATTGACCTCCCCATGCAGTCCATGCGGAAATAAATGGGCCCTAATATACCACCACTCTTTTGCTGCGCTCATCAGGTCTGGTTTTGCACTGGTCTAATCCCAAACACCCAATCGAACATTATAATCTCAGTGTCATTCCTTTGGTTTTGTACTCGACTAGTCCTGGACGAACACTATAATACAAGGGTCACTAGCCACTGCGGCTTGCTCGCAGCTGAAAAGATGGGATTGGTTCTGACTTCTGATATCATTCGCAAAAGACCTATGAAACCTTACCCTTAAAAACTAGTTGTTAGATGAGAGAACCCAAATCTCTTAGAAACACACAGTTGGCCCCCCATTTCGTCAATATTGGACTGATTTACCCTAACATTTTATCACAAAAGGGGCATGTTACAGCTAGGTGAACTCCTAACATAATCTAAATCTTACTTTTATCTCCTTTGCCATCTTACTCATACTTTGTTCTCTACGACTGTTCCAGGTCATGATGAAACGTGCACAGAATGTTGCACAAGCTGTTGCGAAGGGTCGCTCTTCCTTCTCGTCCTGGTCATGTATGGGTGCTCGACGACGTGTTATTGGCACAGTTTCAAGTGCTGAACAGGACAATTCCAACTCCCTTCTAATTGAAAGGGTTAATGGAGAGACAAAAGTTGACGAAGTAGACTATGCTTATTCCCCCTCGGATGATGAGGAAATTGAAGAAGAAGAGCTCATTCAGGATAATCATGTAGGTAACGGTACCACAGCGGAAGATATGACTGAGGGTGAACTGTGGTTTGAGCTGGAGAAGGAACTTGACGGTCATGATGAACATATACAAGCTAGAAAGGAAGAAGCAGCTGCTGTGAAGGAAATAATAGAAGAAGAGACCGGGGTTTTAAAAGAAGCTGTAGAAAATAAGCAGCCTGCGACTCTGGATTCAATGGAAACTCACCGATTTTATCCCCCTGGAAGGATCATGCATATGGTTGTAGCGTCAAGGGAAGATGCTAATTCAAGCGAGGGTGTTGTGGGTGAGGAAGGTACTCTAGGTATATATGAAACCCCTCGAGATCTCTATAATAAGATTCGGTTGTCACCAACCATGATAAATGATCATTATATGCCTATGTATAAGAAGACGATGGAACTATTGATTGAGAAGCTTGGAGAGGATGAAAGTGCCACAGTACAAGCATACTGATGTCCAAAGAATTGTAAATATCGATTTATGACAGCTCACTGAATCATCTCGAAGTGCGAGATCGGCTGGCGGGCTATGTGAACACTTACACTGTAAATGAGATTTGTTCTGTTTTTGCCCAATGTAACCACGGTTGGGGCAAATCTTGTTACACATATACAAGTTTCGTCCTGATAACTGCAGTTTGTAATAAGCACTGTGCATGATGTATCATATGCGTTTCTTTTCTAATATGTCTATCCAATTGAGAAAATTTACATTGCATATTTTTTTTAAACTTTGATGTCTGCTCTCAAGCATACTGGATATGACAAGAACAGGAGCGGCGAGTTGTGTTCGCTTCTGACACTAGCAGGATACTCACGTAGTGTACATGTGTAATCTAGCGATCAACATGATTTGTAGTGAACATTATCATTGTGTATGATGTATCATATGATTTTGTAGTGTGAATCGTCCTCCCGTTGTGGAATGTTTGTGGAAAGTTATGAATTGGAATCTCTACGTCTGTATTTTGCAAGAGGGTCTCCAGAATAAAACGAAGGGATATTAGCGGCTGTAGTACATAATACCTTCATTTCGTTGTGTACCACGATCAGTCACAGTTTATGGAGTATCTTTGCAATTTCTGTGCCCACGGAAGAACTAAACTTAGATATTTTAAGCTTCAGTTTTCCATTTTAAGAGAGGTATTCTACTTGGGGTGTCCTTATCCAATGAAGAAAATATGAATTGAACATGTACTGGTCATTATATATCAAACTCAAAATTAAAAAATCGGTTACTGGCATACCTATGAGATCTTATAATTGGAGAATAGGTACTGAAGGACTTAACAGGCAGTTTTTGTCGCAAAATCTAATGGAAACAAGATAATCTACATATCCACGATGAGGGTATAATAGACACCTTCTCTATACGGTAGCTCCAAGAGCTCTCAATAACTAACGCAAAATCAAACGCTACATCTCTTTACAAATAACTTATTACTGAACCCTTATGCCGTCCGAAATAAATTGATTGCTCGCATTAAACATTAAAAAGCACTGTGGATTTCGTGGTTTCCCCACCTGTGGCCTTCAGAGAGAGAGAGAGAGAGAGAGAGAGAGAGAGAATCAATGCAGGAGAGCTCATCAGTTTTAAATTCTCGATTCGATAATTTTCAATAATGATGGGGTAAAAATGTCAGTTAACTTCACGCAGGAAGAACAAGTTCAGAACAATCATGTTGTTATAACATTACAGAAAGAAAAAATACAGTGCACGAAACAGCTCAGAAGACCATATACAACGAATTTTCATCTCGCACATGATATCACCAAAAACAATGGGAACAGAATTCTACTTGGTAGCCTGTGCAATCATATTGCTTATGGAACTAGCTTCCTCTTTGGCAGTCTCCACCAGTGAATCCTGCATGCAGAAACACAGTTAAGATACTTACACAGTTAAAATACTTTTGCTAACATACACAAGCTTTTTGCATAAGGACACCTCACCTCACTATCATCCCATTGTACAAGTATCAGCTACAATCGGGATAATCATTAAAAGAACAAGTCATATGGTCTCAGGAAATAAAATAATTATTCTAGCTGAAGTTCATTTCAGCAAAGCAAATTGCCAGTCACACATATTCAGTATTATCTGCTCGGCCTCAAATTTCGAAAAATGTGGCTTAATCAAGGGGAAATTTTCAGGGAGAATTTACATAACAACCGGAGCATATGCAAAAGTTACCACAACTATCATACCATGGGATTGCATGAATAATATATCAGTTAAAAGGCAGTTGTAAATTAGTAGGTTTGTCCAAGCAAATAATTCCAAATTCTGTTTCTTTTGAAACGTTATTATAAATAAATCTGCCACTGCATAATAATTCAGAGATTTCTTTAACAAGTATGATGTAGAGAAGTTATTTTGAGGTTCCTAACTCTGAATAATGAAGCAAACACTGAGAATGAACTGCAATCACAGTAAAATAGAGTATCATAACTTACACTCAGCTCATATCTGTAGAGAACATAAACTAATGGCCATATAAAAAAAATGTGCATAAGCAAGAAACTACAGGGAAACATAAATATAAATTGCAGATACTCTATTATATCCAATTAGGAGAAAAAACAAAGTACATATTACTATCATCATCATCCTCAACGGAAGGGTAAGCATTTGACCATACCTGTGCAGCTATAAGCCGTGCAACTGTTTTCTTGCTCGACTCCTGAAGTTCACCAGCAATAAGAATCTCGTCCAGTATATAGTATGCCTGCCAATTTTAATTTTTTTTTAGCTAAAAAACAAAATGAAGATGGAAAATGTTTGAGGTCTGTANACCACAGAAAATAAATACCTTGTGAAAGTTAAAGATCAAATCCAGCTCGCACACCTGAAAGGAAATATGGAGAGGATAATCTAAAAAGCAATTTAGAATTTCTTATTAATTACACAGTCTACTCGAGCAGAAGATAATATACTCACACTGCCAAAATAACGGTCCAATATCTCAACGAAATGATGAATAATTTCCAGCATCTCCAACTCATTATCGTTTGCATCAATGCACATGCAGAAGTAAAGGCTGGCATATCTGTAGATGATATTTAGAGAATATAAAAAGAACTTGCATCCGAATTGGGAAATGATTCACAGCAACTATGCAAACAGATTTATGGCAATCACTGTAATGCATTACCTTCTGTAAACAACTTTGTAGCCTCTCCATTCCACAAAATTGCAGAGCTTTGGACCTCGTGTCAGAATAACTCCACTAAGCTCTCGGATAACCTGTTCAGGAACGTAAATTACATTAGGACGAAAATAAAAATAACAAAAAGGCTATTGACAAAAAATTTCCAGCAGTATCAAATTGAGAAATGCTATAGTCTAGTTCCATGGCTAGAAAATAAATGAGTTGGGAGAAATCAAAAGAACCAACTCTGTCAAATGCCCTTAAATGTTTGACATGGAAGATAAACCTTAAAGGTTAACAATCCATGCCAATCATAAAACCATAAGACAGATTCAAGCACATATACATCAACCTCATAATAATCCATATCAACAACAGGATTCTGTAAGATGCATTGGTTCTAATAATAATGATAAGCCTCAACCATAAGCAATAAACATCAGAGTAAGTAATAAACATATAATGAACTTTTGAACATTGGCCCGATACAAAATAACGTACATCTGCCTTTGATGGTAAGCATCCAAATCCCAATATGACATACATACAGACAATAGCAGGTTCCAATTTATTAATTAATTGCCCATCATTTACATTTCTGAACAGTGGTCCAGAAAAGCACTAGGCCGCTCTAGACACACAGGATAGTGCTTAATACCTACATAGGATAGTTGCATTTCTCGCAAGCCATAGACTACAATGTATGAGTTTTTACATAAACAAATTGCAATTATGCACAACAGGTGCAGAAATAACAGTTGCTAATAAAGTCATTACCTATTGTTTACATTTTAAACAGCAGTTTAGAAACCTCTAGGTGGTTCTACGCGCACTGGATGGTGCCTAACATCTAGTAATGTGCCTAGAACGCCTAGGTGCTCACCTAATCAAAGCAGCTTGAAGAACTAAGTGATTGATAGAGAATTTAGAAGTGCCTTTGAGTTGCTTGAACAGAACAAACTTTGGTGCCATACAAATAGAGTAATAGTTTACCACTTACTAGTTGCATTTTCTCGTAATCAAAGATGAGAAACTGCGTGTTTATAGAAAGAAATTCATCATTTACAAAATATATACATGCAGAATACAATTAAAACAACAATATTTACATAGAAGATATACTAGGCTACCCACATCCATGTTGCGCAAGAAAAGAATACCAGTTTTATGCTAAGAAATGCAATAAAGCCAATAAAAACATCTTTTATGAGAAGAAAGTAAGATCCATGAAGGTAAGAGGCGGTACATGTATTAACAGGACATAGAAAAACTGTACTACTTGCCTTGGACCTTTCCTTTTGTGCATACGGAGAGTACCATTTTGTCAGTCTCACTTTTCCTTGTCGACTAATTAGAAGTACAAAGTGAATCTGGAAAAGGAAAATAACATGACTTTAGTATTGGAGGCAGCTTCAGATATATAGTAGCCTTCAATTGGTATAACTGCCTGATTTTGAATTATTGAGTTATATAAGCTAACGTCCGATCATCATCATGTATGCGAAGTCAAAGAAGCTACAGCATCTACGCTCCCTACTGTGAGCAGCAAGAATGACTGAGAGAACGCCAACAATTTCCCTCTCTTACTCCTAATGGTTGGCAGCCTTTTGAAAAATAAAGTTTTGTTGTAAATGCAAACATCCAAGCTACCAATCTAACAACATAAAAGATTTAAATACCCGCTCTGATCCGACCAGCACATGCTGCTCAGGAACTCATTGAGATTGTTATTAGCAGTCTTACTGGAAGTCTTAACAAAATTTGTTGGGTCGGGCAACACTACAGGGCACTTGGAACGTATGTTACATAACTTGGAAATTTTGCATTCAATAAAAAGGGCAATATGGTATCATAGTACTAAAGAATAAAAAAGAATGAGAGCGAATATTGAGAAATGGGTCTATAAGGAAGAATAGAAACACAAAGTGTAATGAACTTATTTAAAAATGATGAATTCCTACTTAGTTTGTGATTAGATTGAGATTCTTCACAAAATATTATAGAATATTATTTAATAGTTGCATCCATTAAAAATCCATATTCATGACTTTTTTGTGTGTGCATACTATTGTATCTCGTATTCGTACCTGTATTGTGCAACCTATGGTCACAATGAGAATGAAAACTAAATCTAATCTAACATAGCTAAACACTAAATATGTAAGGACCATGAAATTTTGATACTAGTTAAAATAAATCTTCTGGTATTTTAAAATATTCAATTATTATTTTTGAAAAAGAGTATTTGTATTTTTCCGGCCTTCTAGAATTTTCTATGATTTAAAAATCTGATTTTTATATTTATTAATGATTTTGAAAATTATAAATTAAATAGTTAGGTGAAAACTTTCAAATAAATAATTGTTTTATTTATTATTATTGTTATATTATCATTGTTAATTTTTACAAGAAAATTTTCCCTACTTATTTCTATTTTCCCCCTATTTATTTCTTTTATTTGTTAATTAATACCTATTAATTCCTAACCCTAATCCATACATTATTTAAACCTTTTCTCTCTATTTTTTTTTGGTGTTACCCAGCCGTCAGAGAACCCCCTCCCTTCTCTCTCTTCGTTGTCTCTCCCTCTCCACCTCACCGACCACCAAGCCGACCTCCTCCTTTTCCCCACGCCACCAAGCTCCAATCCGACCAAACCCAACTCCGACCAGTTCGACGCCAAACACCCCTCAACCGCGCCACCCTCAACTCCATCTCCTCACCGTCAGTCCCAACTTCGCCGTCGCTCAGATCCACCAGAGCCTCCACCTTAGTTCCGTCCTCCTCCTCTGCAGTTCGTCGGCGCTCCTCCAACCGTGCGAGCCTTCCATTGCAGCAGCGACGCCGATCCCTGCTCGCTGTCCAGACCCGCTGCCCTCTGACGACCAACGCCTCCATCGCACGCTATATGTTCGACGGTATGCCAACAGCCACGTTGAGCCCCTCGGTGATGACAACCGCCATCGTCGTCGCCATCCTCAAACATTGCCATCACGAACAATGCCCTCCTGATCACAGAACTTCTTGAAAGCACCATCTGTATACTCTGTACCGTTATCAGATCTCAGTGTCTTCAATTTCTTACCCGTCCTGTTCTCAACCATTGCTTTCCACTTCTTGAATGTCTCAAATACCTCATTCTTATGCTTAAGAAAATAAATCCAAGCATACCTAGAGTGTCTCTTTTCTTTACTACAACCAGCTGTTCTTGGACTGTTCTCTTAAGGCGTTTAGATGCGTAGCTCCCTAATTAGTTTCCCCAATAACTAGTCATCAGAGCTTGAAGATGATCAGGAGGAAGCTCACGATTCGAAGTGCGGAACAGGATGAAGGCAAATGTGAGTTGAGAGAAGCTTTGATAGAAATAAGGATTTCTGATTTTTGAAGATGCAGGATAGAGGATTACTCTGTACGGCAAAAAGATCTATTATAACCCGCTTTCAGGGAGACACCACGAGTCTCAATGAAGGCAAGATGATGTGGAAAGCCTTCTGACAGACAGACAAGCCCCGTCGGACTTATCAGATTGACACTAACTCGTAACTATTAACGTTACACCATAAGCGAAGGAACAAAGACCATTGGGCGGGCTCTATATAGCACACTCATCAAATATGTATGCAGAAGCCTATTAGCCATAAAATAAAGTTTATTTGATGAAGCGGTTATTCCAATCTGCAGAGTGGCGAATGTACGTGCAGTAAGACAACACACTGTGCATCAATGACTCAAGCATGTTCAGCAACCGCCAACTAGAGTCTCGCTAGGAAAAGGCCAAAATTGAAGTTGGATGAGGAAGTTGTCGCAGTGTTGATACCTTTTGGTCTTCGCTACCACGAAAGCTGGAAACGTCTACAGCGTCACGGCCTGTGAGTAGTTCATGACCGCGGGAAGCAACAAGTTGCAGTTGATGACCGTTCCATTCGTTTTGGTTGCTGACCAGCTGAGGAGATCGCCGACAGAGGGAGTCATGGTGAAGCTACAAATCTTCAACTACTTGCGGCATATAGAGTCCAAGAGGTAGAAATTCAATCAGCGGGAGACGGACGAGACCAATTGACAACTACAGGAGATAGATCAACAGAACAGGAGGTCCGCAAGTTAAAGCGTCCATGCACTAGAGACCCAGCCGCTACCAATCCGCACATGGTTCTGGAGGTGCCTGATTACACGGTCACAAGTGCCAGAGTATTGACTGCGCGAAGAAACGGACAAGTTCTATAACCCGTTGTATAGTTCTCAGTTCAACTATGTGGCTCACTGAGCATTCTAAATATCTTGTAAGCGAATAAGGAGTTTAGGGCAAAGGCCCACAGTCTCTATATGCAATATCGTGTGACAATCTAACAATTATACTCAGTCGACACCGAGCAACGAATCGGGATTCTGCGCATCGGGGTTGCGTGCGAACGAACATACTCGACTGCTCCGTGGCAGGAGGCGGCGAGGATCGGATCTGAGCGCAGGTGAGGAGCACGGCGACTGAGAACTCGGCGTCGGGCCGTGCCGGGAGAACAAACGGACGGGCCGCAGCATCGGGTGAGCGAGGTGAGCGGACGGAGATTGAGCGCAGGCGGGACACCGGTCGGCAGTCGGACAGGAAAACGCTCGGGTTCGAACGGCAGGCAGGCTGAAGGCTAACCCGCGGGGATCGGGGCGCTGTTTAGGAGGAAAAAGAGAGGGTGCTGTTGGGTCCAGGGGTGTGGCCGTTCGACGACAGCCGGGATGAGGGGGCTGCCCGAGCGATCCAGGCCGGAGCAGTGTGCGAGTGCGGCGGAGGGGTTCTTGCGGGCTGTCGGGATGTTTGGGGTTCGTCAGGGATGCAGGAGAGGCGACCGGAAACGAGGCGTGGCCGGGTTGGAAGACTTGGCTTCTGAAATCAGTCGGCAAGTGCGCGCGCGCGTCCAGGCAAAAAATCGACGCCGGCGGCCAGAGCCGGGCTGACGGCAACGAGCCGGGGGGTCGGAGAATTGTCAGGAGCCCAACGCAGAGGGCAGCTGGAATTGGGGCTGGAAGCTGGGAAGCTGGGAAGGAGGGGCTGACTGTGTGTACCTGCTGGGACCGTTGCAAGAATAAGGACTGATAACACCACTATGATTGGGGGCTCAGCCATCGTGCAAATTCTAACAAAGGTTAAGGCCTAAATAATACACCCAATGTTTGACGTGTTTTTGTTTGTTAGTTTCTGTTAGAGAATTCAAGATGTGTGGCGACCGTGCACAGTTAGGGTTGTTATTCTGTTGTATTTTTTCTGGTTATTCATCTGAGTTAGTGATTCAACAGTGTCACATGCAAGCAATCTGTTTAGAGGAGAAATTGTATAAATAGTCACCTGTCAATTAATTTGACGAAAAGGGTTGATAATACCAAAATCTCTCTGGCCTCAGTTCTATACAATTTTTTCATGTCGCAGCTGCTCTTCCACTCTCCTACTCATATCTCTGTCTCTTCTTTCTGGGCAGAAGCTGATAGCTGGAATCAATGGCGCTAGGAAGATGAATCGAGGTCTTTCGATCCTCACAGAGGCTGGTCGGAGGTCGGCCTGGAGGGGCGACCGGCGAGTAGGAGGGCTTTTGGGGAGAGTGCTGTGGATGCACCGCAGATGTGTGGGAAATTGTCGGAGCCTTGGGCACTTGAGCTGCTGAATGGCAGGCGAAGTGGCAGGCGGCGCCTGCTGAGGTTGACGGTTCGTCGACTCTAGTCCTGGATTCAAGAGCAGGTGGTACTCGGAGGCGGAAAGCGTATAGAGGAGATGGGTTGAGTCTCGTGGACGAGAGAGCAAGGAAGAAGGAGAAGTTGATGGGGTGGGAGGCGTGAAACATAGAGAGGAAGGGGCAGGGGGTAAATAAATTATATATATATACCTCAATAAAATAGTATATATATCAATTAAATAATATATATATATTTATTTTATAGAGATATATAACTATATATAATAATATATTATATATATATATTATATATAACTATATAAGTACAGCTTAGGGTTAAGGGTTACGATAATTACAAATGCAAAATAATTATCAATAAATAATTTGCGGATCACTTAAGAATTAAACTAATTATAAAATAATTATCTATAATTAAACCTACAACGTACAGTTTGTGCTAATACAACAATTGCATTACGAAATAGTTGAAAATATACGCGCCATATTGTATAATTAACAAGAATATTAACTAATAAAAATATTTCTACTTAAATTTAAAATTAAATAATTATGGGACAATTACGTAGCTATGATAAACGTTACTAGGTGATATACAATACCGATAGATAATATGTAATTAATAGAAATAATACCAACTAATTTAATAGCAAATAATACATAATTAAATAATACAAAGTGATTTAGTACGGCGAAAGTATAGAACATTTAATAGTACAAACATAATATTTAAGAATAATTGTGAGAGAAGAGATAGTCCTAAGGAAGTCGATTAAGACAACCTCACACGTTACAAATTAAGTTCTAAGAGAATATATATGTGTTACAAACCCAGTCCTACACAAGAATAAAATTTATAAATCAGGTCAAAATCAATTTAAATAACTATTAAAAATAATCAGATTTTTAAATCATGAGAAAAATTGGTAGAAAATCGGAGAAAAATAACAAAATACCGTCTTTTTAAAAATCGATTAATTAAATATTTTAAATAGCCAGAGAAATTCACATCTCTTTAACTAGTATTCAAAACTTCATCGGTCCATTACCACTTATAGTAGTCCTGCCTTTATGTAGTAGAACGCCAGTATCCTTGTGACGACAGCGCGGAAGAGCTATGTATGCAGAATGAGCACCGCTTTTTGGTCTGAGTATAGGCAATTGTAAGAAGTCTGTCGATACTAGGTAGCATTGTTGTCGGAGTATAGGCGCATGAGTGTACTGTAACGCAGTCTACCATGACCGGTGGTAACTGTACGCAGTGCTCTGCGGAATTATGATTGACACTATGGGTGAGGCCTTGAAGAGTTTCTCTTGAAGAGAGAGGGCGTACGTAGGCAAACAGAAAGATCGTGCCTGTCCACCGCAGCCAATTCACGATTTTTACAATGATGATTTTCTATTTCATTGTGGGAATAAATACGAGTCTGGATATATGTTGGCAATGAGCTTGTCTACTGTTATAAATATGAGTAATGTTGGGCTTGACGTTGGGCGTACCTATTAAGCCACTCAACGCAGACATATTGGCTCTGAGAGGAAACTATGGAGAGTTACTCAACCAGAATTGTTGCGGCCTTGAGATAGACCTATGCTCTGTTACCTACAAGTCCACTCTAGCATGAATGAGTTTGTATGCTGAGCTTAATGGCCCATTTTATACTTTACTCAAAGGCAGATGGTTGCACATTAATGGTGAGAGCCTATGAGCCCACACTAAACGCAGTAAATATGAGTCTTGTAACAATGAGTTAAAAATCTAATGAAAATTTATGTTTGGTTGTGACCACTTAGTCACTTGTTATGAGATGGGCCAGCTACCGAGGGCCACTGCAGCGAGACTTATTGCCCATGCAGATTATCAGGTACAACTAGTATGTCACTTAGCCAAATTGTTGTCTAGGGTTAGGACTACTGAGCCACCTAGTAGAAATGTGTGTTGGACAAGCAACAATGACACAATAGGAAAATTTAATATTTGGGTTGTGAACTGCTTAATCATTAAGTGGTGCATGACAGATCATGGCCCGTCAAATACCCTATGGCTCATTAATCTATAGCCGGTTATAGGATTGGAGTTTCATGTAAGTGCTGCGCTCTCTAGTAGTAAGGTTGTTCTTTTCTCAGTTGATGAGTCAAGATAATTGTCGGCACCTCTGACTGAGTTTTTAGCATGCTCTTCATATGTTGTCATTTTCTTTCAGGATTTAGAGTTACTTAGTTGTA